ACAGCACATAAAGCAAAGTGAGGAGCGTGTTTCATTGACTCTATGGCTTCTCCTTAAGGTCAATCGGTTGCAGTGTAGCTATTCAAAACATGTGTTTGGCTAACACAAAGCCTCTTGGTTCTCCTTAAAGTGAAATTGTCCAGATTCAAGATGGCCTCTGGCAAGAACTTTTTTTTCCTTAACGCTTTGTGACCCATGGGACATATTGTGCCCACCTGCATGTTCTACCTCAGTCAGATCCGGTGGAAAGCTGCAATCCCACTTTGGGTGTGTGCTGCCCTCTGCTAGGGGCTGGACCACTGGGCAAACCAGCAGAAACAGGCCTGATCGCACCAACCCCGGCACTAGAGAACCCTTGGGGCCAGTGTTTTCGCATTTCATAAAAATCCACATTATCTCAAAAATAGCATTTCATTTCAACCGAGACGCCATCCGTTACAGAAAACACAATTTCAACAAAGAATGAAAAATAGAAAATCATTTGGGCTCAAGAAGAGTTAAATGGGAAAATTTATATGATCCAAAAAAGGTCAGTAGGAAGGGAACAAACACCCCATGCAGTACATGCCTGCAAAAATCCATCAGTTATTAGCGGCTCAAGAACGCAACCCAAGTCCTGCGATTTTATTTTTTAGCATCCTACAGTAAGGAAAGGGAACAAAAATTAACGTTTCCATTTCATGTTCTTACTTAAATAGTGTTGGGCGTCTTTCACCATCACAAATCTCCAGTGATTAAAAAGGGCGGCACGCCCGTGCTTGACACATGATACACTGTATAATACAATCAGTATGACTGTATCTCCATTTGTACCTTGGGCATTAAAACAGCCACTTGATCAGGAGGGAGTGGTCTGATCACCTAAGGAAAGCTCCCTTGCGGGCCTGTGACAGAGGTAATCCCGCATATCCGCAAGGGTTTTCTGAGTTGGTGAGACAGTCTTATCTGCTTAGCCCAGGCCTTGCGGCTTTGCTGATAAGGACCTTGGGACAAGTTCTGGGTGCAGCGCTTCCTGTTCATTGGCTAAGACGATCCATTCACCCAGGGGGATGGTTTTGCATTCACTGTTAAAAAGAAAATCCAGAATGATGTTTGGAAGAAAGCAAAGCCTTAGACTGAACGTGGAGCATCCACCAAAGTCAAAAACAGGGCTCTAGGACAGTTGAGAGACCTAGGGGGGGGGTGGGCACCAAGGTTGGCAGCCTTGCTACAGCATCAATTGCTCATCTTTTCACCAGGTCTTGTGAAATAGTGGAGACTCAAGTTCTTTGTTGACTCTCAAGAGCCTTGATCTTGGAATTTAAAGACCAACTCTTCTCACCAACTGTAAGGGAGTTGGCCCTTTAGGCTTGATTCTTGGATACATTTCCACCAAGTCTTCAGCAACGAGTCTGGGTTGGTAAGCAATGCTCTCGTCACCCCAAGTTTTCAGGCTGAAACCAGGTGCGGCTCATTTCCGGACGCCGACTTCCTCCACAGAAATCTTCCTGCTGAGACTTAGGTATTGTTTAAAGGCACTAATAAAAGGGAGGAGGGGGGGGCGCTAGCAATGAGTCAGGTCTTTCCAGAAATAGACACATTTTCAAAAACCCAAGCCAGCCCCTGATGTGGCCTATTTCAGTATCTAGAGGACAGAGAACGCAAGGGTGTTCCTGGCTGGCTGAGTCGCGCTTTTTCACCCTCCTAGACACGTTTATCCAGTCTCAGGTAGCTTTCCTGACGAGGCAGTGGGAAAAAACAGCAAGGATTTTTTTTAAAAAAGAGAACCAAACATAATTCCTTTCTTTCACAAAACCAAGTCCACTCTGAGACCTCAGTTCCCCTCAGATGGGCCTACGTCGTCCCAGGAGGTCAAGTTTGCGGTGAGGAAAGGACCCAACACAAACAGGGTTCAAGTCCGTGAGGCCAGCAGACAGATGTCAATCAGTGGGTGAGTTGATTGTGCAGGGAGGGGGACAGGACTTACCTAAAGACGGCACGTCTCCTGCATACGCACAAACACACTTCTCTACACTCACTCAAGAAAGCACGCACGTGGGAAGGTTCTGGCAACAACCTTAGACTGGCGTGCATCTCTACACAGGAATGGCTACGAGCAACAGGACACTCCCACGGTCACAGTCATGCAGCCTGACTGACACGCAGACAACGGCTTGTTGCAGGAATGATGAGTCTCTTCAGGATTATGCATCCTCTTGACGTGCAGGAGTTTCCATAAACTCTCTCCTTTTCAAGAGGATTGCCCCAGTCCTGGGAGGGTGGACGTGACTCAACACAAACTGCGGGAGTTACAAGGAGCCACAGTGCGGGCCCCTGGGGACTGGGGTGATTGAAGTCTCTGCCCTTACCCTGTCGCAGGGCGGGTTCTGGGTGGAGATGAAGGCCTCTGTGGAGGGATGGAAATGTCTAGAAGTCCAGAAGTTCACACAGACAGAAGTGTGCATAATTTAAAGGGGTTCCCACTCTATCCTGGCAACCGAGTTCGCTCACCGGAGACGTTCTGCTCTGGCAGCAGGGCACAGAAAGACACCAGGTGGTGTCTTTTCTTCTGGAGAAGACCAGCTGGAGGTGGGGAGGGGGCAGAGGTCGAAGGCAGCTCAGGTGGGGCTCCTAAGGTTTCTGCTTGCCTGCCTTGGACGGAAAGGGCGCTAGCGCAAAAGGATCGGCCGCTGGCAAGTCCGCAGTCCTGGCGGACAGGGGCGGGATGGAGACGGAGCCTGCGATCGACTGCTTGTTGGTTTGCGAGACGATTTTGTAGGCAGCGATGGGCTGGGCTTCTGGACTTGGCTCATCTTCTGGGCTATAGTGACGGGAATATTTGGAGAGAGACGGCGGGAGGAACGGTTTGCCAGCCCCAGGGCCTGAGCCCACCTCCTTCTGGGGTGCAGGCCCTTTGTTTCTGTCATTAGGGTGCCCCACCAACTCCAGGGAAGAAGCTCCCCTAGGAGAGATGCTGTCAACATGGTCTGATGCTTGCACAGGCTGGGAGGGGAGGCTGGGAGGCTGGGCAAATCCGGCCACGGAATACTGGGCCCGGGCGGCAGGGTACCCGGTTCTATCAAGGCCGGAGAGTAGAGGGCTGACGCCCGTCAGGATGTCTCCCATCTGGCGGAGGAGACTGCCCTGCACTGGCATCTCCGGGGTGGCGCTCTGGGGACCAGTGAGCTCCTCCACAGTTTTCTTCTTGGTAAAAGGGGCTCTGAAGAACACATCTGCCTCCGTTGGCCGGGAGGAGGCTGCGGGGCCCTTGGAGATAAATGGGGCTTTGGAGAAAATGTCCCCGTCGTCACTTGGAACCCTCGAGCTCCTGAATGGGGCGGTGGCAAAAACATCCGGCTCACCGAGGCCATCAGGGACGGGCTGTGTGCGAGCCGAGATCTGGTCCTGTCTCCCGGCCGGGAGCGCCTCTGTTGGCTCAGTGCAGACTTCAGGCTGAGTGAAGGGAGTGGGTCCTCCCAGCTTCCCGGGGGGAGGCTTACAACTCTCCTCCTCCTCTTCAGACTCCAGGAGGAGAGGGCGAGAGCCACTGCAGCCCAGAATGTCCCCCTCAAGGTCAGTCCCCTCCTCTTCACTGCTATGGAACGAGCTATTGCTGGAGGGGCCCTCTCGGGCCAGGTAGTCCGATTCTAAGTTGTTGTGGGTGTTTGCATCAGGCGCTCTGGAGGGGTCTGGATACAGGGGGAGGCCTTTAACCCCTGCCGAGTCTTTAAAGTGCGCTACGGTTACTACAGGACAGGGGATGGGCTCTCTCTGGAGACCTGGAAAAGCACAAAGGACAGAATTAGTGCACAGAGCCACTCGACTCCATCCCCAGAACACTTACGGGCCAACCCACGGCAGAAACGTGGTGGGACCAAATCATAAACAGATGTTGAAATGGAGAAAAAGTGGGGGGTGGGGTGGATGGGGGGTACGGAAACAGAACAGAAAAGGCAACGGCACACAGACTGGAACACAGCCAACCACGGTCTCACACTTTGGAACACGAGAGGCACGATGGCGGGAGAGGAGATGGAAGATGTTAGGCACACGGACATTCAGCGGAGCTACACGTTTCACTGCTACTCCACGGGGCCGGGCACCATCACCTGCTTGACCTGGCCACGGCTCCACGTGGCATGAAAACAAACCCAGTCACTCCTCTCTTCGAAGAACGCCACGGCCAATTTTGGATTCAGTTGAGAGGCCATCTGAACAGGAACTTGACTCGGGAACCGGCATGTGGGCCAATGGTCCACACTGCCTCTGTCCGAGCAGACTCTCTTGACAGGCAGCAGACGTGGCCATGGGGCCACTGCCAGGTTTCCTGGCTGAGCTGCATCAGCAGTCCATGTCACAGGGCACGAGAGTGCGCCCCCCTCCCCCAAATCAACCAATACTGCAGGCATTTTCTAAGGGAAGGGGACATTAAATAGATCCCCTTCCATTGGAGTTGCCCTGGGGGTTTGTTTTCAATCTTCTAGGGTAGCAAATATCTCCTCTGCTTAAATGAAGGCATCAGAGTCTCTTTAAGCAGAAGGGGTAGAAACAGATGGGTGATCCCGGAAGTATTAGCAAACTAATCATGGCAGTCTATTTGTATCTAGGTAGAGGATATTCCGGCTTTGAAAATCAAATAGACAATAGTCAGAATGCAAGAGAGCTTACCTTCCAAGAAATATTGGCAGGTTAGAAGTATGTCATTGGGCACATGTTAGCAAGAGGGTAGGAAAAAGGCATATGTAACTGAGCAAGAAGCATCCAGAGACAGACAGGGTGATTGGGGGAAGGAGCAATCAGTTCATCATGGGCTCAGTAAGAGACACCGCTGGAGTTGCCCAACCCACCAGGATAAATATTCGGATCCACAGGTATCTTAACCTTCTATAGATGCAACTTAATCACACCCTCCCCATCGGCCCTCACCCCTCCTCTGGGAACCATCAGCTCGCTTCCTATAGAAATGTATGCCTGCCCTGCTAAAAGTTTCTGCTTGAATTGAGCACACAGAACACAGCAGAAGAGGCGTCAAAAATCAGTTTATTGGGAAACCAGTCACTCATCAGATACATTACATTGTAAAGAGAACGTAGAGAGGAGAGATCTAAACATTTTATAAACTACTGTACAAAAATATGACGTTTCTCTGAATCCTCTTTTTAGCAGCGCTTCTTTTAAAACAGTTCTGATCTTTAATGTTTTCAAGCCCTCCTTCCCTCCCAAAAAGTTTCTCTCCCCGGGTTCTCTTTATTTCTCTAACAGAACGTATTCAGTAAAGACTCTTCGAGTTAAATTCTGCACTGGTGCCAAACGGCTGTCTGGATAGTATTTGGAGAATACGACTGCGAAGAGCATACAGTTATCCTTGCTTTCCAACTTCTACATGTGCATCTAGATGGTGACAGGGAAGCACTGGGCGGCTGGTAAGTACTAAGAGGGACCCTTCCCTCGCACACTGTGTGCAAAGAAACCATCTCAACTTCTCGGCTGGTATTGTTCAGCTCTGTCATGGCGGCACCCGGATGATGACTGGGAGGAGACCCCCAGGAAAGGGGACAGAGCTCTAAAACGAAACTCACCAACAGAGGGGAACAAGCGTTCCTCCTCAATGCATCATCAGCTGGATGAAGCTTTCAGTTGCCCAAACTAGGGCACAATCCCACCCTCTTCCACAACTACCCTGGAGGCTGGTATTATTCAGCTGGTTCTGCGGAGAGTAGTATCTCTTAGTAAGGGAAGAGGGGAAAAAAGGGAGGGGGGGATTTAATCATGCCAATGACTGACTGGCATTATAGTCAAGCAAGAATCAAAATGAATACTAAATTGATTGGGCTTAGTGTCTTGTTTTTCAATTTAAAATAGAAATCAGCCAAGTTTGATGATTAGAATTCAGTTTTTACAATTTAAATGTAATTTCCCCTTGCCACCCCCTCCAGTCCAATAAATAGTTTGTGTGCACAGACTGCCCCCAAAGCGGCTACCTATGGCAACTAGGAAACTCTGGATACTGGTGGTGTGATAAGTGTGAAGTATTCCTCAGGGGTGCCTAGACGCAGCGCTGGGCAGGGTGGAGGGGCATGTCTAACCCATCAAAATGACTTCTGTTAAAAACAGGGTTCCTGCCAACTCAGAGCATACCCTGCGATCTTCATGGGAAATCACAGGAAAATCTAAAGAGCGGCTTCCAAAGAAACCATAGGCACAGTCACATAGGCCTCCTAACAGGAAGGCTGAAGGGGAAACCAGTCCCTGACCTTCAGAACAAGGGCCCGAGCCATTTTCTACCTCCCCTTGCCGTGGCAGGGCTCTGCTTCGCGGGTCTGGGCAAGCACACTGAGAGAGTGCGCTGAAGCAGGCTGGTCTCTTAAGCTCCCCGTTTGTTTTCAGAGGAGGTGGAGGGTGACCAAGGCAGAGAGCAACCACTCTTTGCAAGTCCCCAAGCCTGGAACTCTGGGGAACAGAGAAAGGGCAGATGCCCATGTTTCCCTCAGGGACCTTTAAGGAAATAGTAGAAAATAGGGGAGGCTGTGAGCGTAAACAGAAAACCACTTATTGGAGCTTGCTGGCAGCGGAAGGTCTTTTGCAGAAGCTGCATTGTGCCCAGACAAGAGTCTGCTTCAGGACGGGCAGCCTGCGTGAGGAGGAGCCACTTGTTCCTCCAGGAAGGGGGTGTTAGAAGCAGTCTGCCTACTGGCAGTGACGTCAACTGCTTGGCACTGATGGAACCTCCCGGCCTGGCCCGGTTCCTTTGGTGACCAGTGGCAGACAGAGCAGATAGCCTGGAGCCACACCAGGGCTCTGACACAGGACCCGGGCTTGCAGTCTGTACAGAAGTGCACTCATCCCAAACTCTAAGGTCGGGCATTTTGCGATAATTCCTTCTAATTAGGCCATGTTTCCTTTTATTTTAGTTTGGCATGTTAAATTAAGCCTGAAGTCAAAATACACCTTTTTTTTAAAAAAAAAAATTCTCCTCTTTTCTGGCTCTGTTGTGGGACTGAGTGCCAGGCTGAGCACACTGTGACACTGTGACACTTCCGTTAAGGAGAACTCTATTTTAATCTACGTTGAAGCCCCAAATGACGCATGTTTTAGCAACAGCTCATGTGCTAGGAAAGGAGTCCCCAAATGTACGAGATGTAACCATCCTTCCTGGCTCCCGAGTCGCTGCCAGAGCACAGACAGCGTTACCTATGTGTGCTGTGTTTAGCTGGCGGCCCAACTAATTGGATACAGCGAGGGCCACCAGCATGCTCGCTGTGCACTCCCGTTTCGAGCTGGCTAGTCCCTAATGTGGTACACCGTGCGCAGCTACACTAACACCTTTCCCCAGCCCTTACAGCAAAGTGACAGTGACCACCAAACTGGAAAGTAAAGACTTCTGAGTATTGTGAGTCTCTAGTGAGGGAAAGGAAAGTGATGTTTCCCTGCCAAAGACCCCCCGGATTGCAGCACCAGCTGAAACGCAGCCTTTGGAAGCCAGTAGGGACCCGAGAGATGTACGCCAGAAAATGACTTGGTTGGTCCTGCCCTGTGTTGCTCGGCTGCTGGCTCTGCACCACCAGGGACCTGATGAGACCCAACAGCCGCTGTTGAGGTGGTGCCTCTCTAGCCAGCGGGCAGAACAAGTGAGACTCATTTCTCGCCGGGCAAATAACTGTTCTTGCCAGCCTAACATGTTTAATTAAATTGGCCTGGGAACATTAAAAATTAAATTAGAAGTTGGTAGCTGCCAATCTGTTGGCCCGTGTGATAACCCAGTTTCTGGCCATCTGAACGAAGAGTCCCCGGGGGGTTGGTTCTCCTGGATTACACCGTGAAGTCAAGGGCAGCCGTGGCCCCTGAGCTTGTCCTCAGGGGGCCTTTCTCCATGGGCCCGCGCTTCTCTGCCCCCCAAGAACGCGTGCCCATCCCTTCTGTTACTGCGTGTTTTCAGCTCGAGAAAACATCGGGTAGTTGAAGTTATGGACATCTCTAAACGTGCTCTCTGGTGAACAGATAAAAGACTTTATTCCCCTGTATGCTTACATAAGAAATTTGTTTACACAACTTATTCTCTATACAATACTTGCGTAGCAATGTTGGCATTGTCTCTGTATTTACTGCATAAGATAGCTCCGTGTACATCTGTTTGCTTTTTCTTCTTGAGGAGGACAGGATAAAGGCTGCTAATAAATACACATCCATAGGACAAGGGGAAGGGGTGCAACAGGGCAGGGCGGAATACTCACAGGAAGAGAGACAAGTTCAGGACAAGGCATCAAAGTGGGAACCAAGAACGTGCCTTCCATTCTAGTGCCCCCGCCGGTGGGTAACTTTGTTTGCATAGGTTTGTGTTACCCAAGGAGAAGGGAACCCAGGAAAACAAAACCGCATCTTGTGACAGATGATTTGAAACGGAGGCCACCTGGGATTCATTCCGACACAAGAAACCCAAGCATACCCAACTCAGGAGCATTCTAGTGTGGAAGAGAAGAAAGAATTTGGTTCCTCTAGAACAGAGAAGAGATCATTTTGCAATAACTGGAGTCTTTCAGATAGCCTACCTCTGTGGGCTGAAGCATGGCCATCCACGTGGTTATTTTTCCCTGTTCTACAAGTCAGCTTCTAATCTGTCTGATTCAGTACTTTCAGCAATCCTTTTACTTTCATCCCTAGCCTCTATAAAAGGAACTCTGGGCCCCTGGTCATTTTTTAGACTGAGAAGGTTAATGACTCCTGGAGAGAGAGGGCGCCTTTCTTTTTGGTCCACAGTACCTAGAACAGGCATTCACCCTGCAAGCCTCTGAGCTGGGGCTGGCCACAAGGGTCTCCTTCTTCCCAGGTCACTGCTCAGGCAGGGCTGTTCCTGACTTAGGGGAAGGTTGGTTGGTTTAAATAAAAAACCTGCCAGGTGACTAAGAAGCAAAACAAAACAACATTACAGGCGAAACAAAACTAGCATTCCATCTTCAGATAAACAGGTTCTCATCCATTATTAGCCATTCAAGTTCCACACCTCTCATTCAGAAAGTGCGAGGACTGGAATCAGAAGACACTGACCAAAGTGACGGCTCCCTTGGAGGGCTCACACAGCCCTGCTTTATTTTCCTCAACCACTCAAGACACTGGGGACTGCAAGAGATCTCCTCTTCTGAAGACGGAAGAGATTATGACTGATCGTTCTCATTTTCCATTATATGTTCTCTTTGGGAATTTTCTGGTTTATTTTTTAAAAAACTGTCATCAGTGTTCATCTTAACAGGAGTAGAGGTTTTGCTCTTGGGAAATAGCCAAATGTTAGAACAAAGAGTAGTGGAAAATATTAAGAAGGGGAACACACTTTCAGATGCTGAAAGTGACACAAATGATCTAGTAATAGAATGGACTGTATTATACTTTATTATATCCCTTGATGTTATTTATAAAGAGGAGAGTTTCAAAATAACGTAAGTGATGGCAGTCTCATTACGGATTAGCTTCTCAAGTAAAACCAGGTACCTTTGAAGGGAAAACACGTCATTGGACATCAAGGTTCTGAGATGTCTGCTCCAGAAATTTTTCAATTATACTAATCATAATCACATTTTAAAAACAGGCTATTCAAATCTCATCTCCCTCAGAGGCCTGTGTTTTCAAAACATGGGGACTTGAATTTGAGGACTGAGTTATATGATGCTGCAAAGGGGGGAAACCCAACTTATGACGAACTGGCTCAGTTACTATTTGAGCACAGTTGGACTAAAAGCAAGTCAGAAACCTGTCTCACAGCACGTGCCCCTTGGAAACTAGCACATCCCTAATTACACAGGTAGGAAGAACAGAAATCTGGTAGCGTTTTGTTGGAAATCTGTAGGAGTATGTGTGTGTGTGTGCACGTAAGATCAAAAACAGAAAATATGTGTTCAAAGTTCTGTGATCATTTAAGCTTCCATTCAAGTAACCAAGAAAGAGCAACCCAGAGGTTATTAAAAGTCCACTATAATTGTCTAAAAGGTATATATTGCTACAGTAACAGCAAGGACTATAGAAGGTAACTGAAGAACCTCAGGATTGTATCAATCCTTCATAGTCCTTCTACAGAGTAACAGTATTCACTTGGGACTCTATTAATTCTAAAATCTTAAAGACCATTGAGTTCAAACCTATCATGGTATGAAAAACAACAATAGCAACAGACCTGAAAGGTGAGTGCCTCTGGCAAGGGTTGGGATGAGGTCCCAGGAGGCCTGTCCAGGCCCGGTCTCCTTCCAATATCCTGCCTCCATCCAGCGCAGACCTGACATCCTTAAAACAAGTGGGAGGACTATAGGACGGCCTCTAAGGTCCCTCTTGTGGCCCAGCCTCTGGCTGCATAGGGCTATCATCACCAGCGCTCTCCACTCACTCAAATGAAGCTGCTGCATTCACGGAGACGCTAAACACTAGGGCAGGCCTAGGAGCGGGTCACTCACAGGCCTTTCTCAAGAGGAAAACAGTTTTTCTTCCCTTCACAGTCTTCTTTCTTCCTTAAGGGCAAACCCCAGACAATTCATGAGACTGTGGCTCCCTCGGGCTTCTACCTAGTCTTTGGCATCTAATCTGTTCATTTTCATTAGCAGTCTCCATTAAGCTTTATTGAGCCAAATGACTAGATAATACATCTCAATGTAATTATGGGTAATGAAAAGAAAAGAACAATTTAGCGACACTTAGTTAATTCCTAAACTATAGTCTTCGTGGTTTCGATTAAATTGAGAAACTAGATTATTTCATTATATTTCTAACATGTACATATGAAAAAAAATCTGAAAACACAGTGTTCAAACATTATTCTCATTTAAAAATAAACCTTTCCTTCATTAGTTTATACATTCTTTCTATGTCCGGGAAAGAGAATACAATCCTGCTCTGTGGCAATTTTTCTTATTCACGATAAAGTAAGTAAGCCAAGCCCCAAGGTCATGGTCATCATTACCAACTTAGAGTAAGCGTGTCAAAGACATCTTTAAAAAAACAAAACCCCAAATCCTCAGCATGTAGGCTGTGCCTCTTGACCTTTGGGAAATCAACTGTTATCTTAAGAGAGGCCTTGACTTAGCTCAGCTCATTTCAGCTGGCCCAGGAACTATTTCAAATCACAAGACTGGAAGGCTGGGACCTTTCCCCAAAGCTGTTCAAAGGGCTGCTCTCACCATGCCAGGGGGCCGGGCGAGGGGGAGGTGTCAAAGCTTGCCCTCCAAAGTGCATGGCTATGCAGGCTTTTGTGATTGCTGTGAAACGCCTTCCCTCCTAAAGTGCAGACATGGGGAAGAAGCAAAAATACTAGATAAACAAGCAGATGGACTTCGCCTTTTATTTGTTCAAATCCAGTCAACGGAGGGCTTCCCCTTTTGATGGAGGCGAAGGGCACCCACCCGAGGAAGACAAGAAGGGAGTCCCCTGTGCTCCCCCCCGCTTCTCAAAAGGGCAATCCAACCAAACTGGCTTTGTTACCGGAGGGGAGAAACCAAACAAAACAGAAGCCCCCTCAGTGACTCCAGGGTCTACAGAGGGTGACCTGAGGCGGGTGGTGAGTGCGGGGCCTTTCTTTATTTTGGGTGACACTCTAGTGTTGGCGAGGAGCGAGGCTTCCTTTTGGGTCATCTTTTAGGCTATAAGAAGCCAAGGGAAAACAGAAAAGATGGGAGAGACACGAAAGGTCAGTAACCACAGAAAAAAACTGTGCCGAGCTCGTCAGCAGGCTTATTTCGGATTACCTGAAAATCAACAACATGCTCATTCTACAGAGACAGGACCTGCTGAAAGCGTACAGCAACATACGAGTCCACTGGACATGATTCCCTACGTTACACTGTAGGATCACGGTGCAGGTATGCATGGGAGAGAGCAAAACCCTGTACAGACATCTGATCATCGGACTTGAAACACCAAGTGGAAACAGAACTAGCCAGTGTCTTCATTTATACACAATTTATAATATTTGATTCAAAATAAAAATCACAAGAAAAATACATCTGTTTCTGCTACAATTCCTTCCCCTTCCCCATCCACCCCCCCAGTGAAAAGTCTTCTAATAAAAGGTATCGTATTTCCACCATGGTCTCATTTTGGTCTTATTCTGAGATCCCAGCTTGGGACAGTCAACATGACAAGGAAGGGCAATACTGGGGATTTACGGCATATACACTTTTTATCCAAGGATCTCCAGTCCTTGCGGTCACATCTCCAGATCTGAGAAATCACGGTTCAGTAGAAGCCAGAAAGCTGGACGAATGCTCGGTAGGTTGCGTGGGGCGTACAATTCCTTGGCTAATTCTACGAACAGAGGTCAACGTTGGTTGGCTAGAGCTGGGCTTGGTTTCTCTTCCCAAGCATAGACTGTTCTCAGTCAATCCAATCCCCCTCTCTTAAACCACAGACCCATCTCTAGGCCACTGCCTAAGTCAAGACCGACTGCAGAAGCCATGTCCTCATGATAATGCATCAGGAGATACAGCAGAAAATAGGTAAACACAGTGGTCAGCATCTGGCCAAAGGTGCCAGGGGTTGGGAGGCCATTCCTAGCAAGAATGAGACAAAGGTATCAATTCACTCGTCTCAGTTACAGGTAAGCTTCGGGTGGAGTCGATTCCAGCAGCGGTGACGCCATGGCATCTAGCACTTGATTTAAGATAATGCTATTGGAGAAGGGCAATGAGGAAACACAGCAAAACTAACAGGGAGAAAAACTGGCCAAGGAATATCTGGAGGGCCAAAGTGATTGTTCTTTCCTTATCATTTCTACAAGAGAAGGCAAGGGGTAGGAGATAAGGGCTAGAGGTCCCTTATTTGCAGATTAAAAAAAAAAAAATAGGGGGAAAAAATCAAGTTTTTCTTTTGAACTCCGTAATGAAAATGTGTATTACGGGATGAAGGTTACACGACTGCATCTGCTACTGGGCCACGGCTACAGGTCTATGAGCTGATCCACCAGCAGTAAGGACCTGGCTAGGTTGGGAAGACTGGACTCAGAGCTCCCACTGCTGTTTCTAGAGTGCCCACCTGGAAGTGGAGAGATAGGAATTCAGCACAAAACAGAGAGGGTTAAGGTTCAGAGGCACAGAGCAAGCAAAGGAGAAGAAAACAGAAAACAAAAAACCTAAAGAAGCAACATTTTACATTTGCAAACTCTCACATGTTATGGTTTTTAAACATATCAACTAGCTACCTTATCTCCTCTCACCTAGAGTTCAGGCAGTCTGTGCTCACCATGGGCCAGGCCAGGGCACCTTATGGAAGGGGTGCTACTTCTTAAAGAACCTATATTTTGCCTGAGCCTTGCTGGCTGTATCCTACTTCCTGACAGCCCCAAATCAGTAAATTTTATGTTGGTTTGAAATTAGTTATTAAGACCACTGCAGTAAGAACATGCTTAAAAAAATACACTAGAAGGTTCTATGGCAGTTGAGGGTTTACCAGCATGTTCAAATGGTTTTAACTCATCAGAGAGGTACTAGGATGCCGTATGCATGTTCCCCGCCACCTCCCGCCCAAATCAGTAATGTCAGAGCACTGTGCTCAGCTCTTCGGAGGAATATTTATTAGACTAGCCAAGTCACAGTAAAGAACACTAAGTGCTTTTATTGATATGTGCCTTAAGGGTTCCATGGACTGAAGATCACTTTACTTTTTTCATACTTTATAATGCTAGCTTTTCAAACGGTATACTCTTCTCCTTATAAACACCAAGGTCAAGGTCAGCTGTCGTCCTATCTGTAGCCCCAGCTAGCTCTACTGGTCTAGCCCATCACGCTCATCCCTGCCAGTTCCCTTCATGAACTACTTCTGCGGCCTCTTGCAGGTTCATTACTATTTCAAAAAGGGCGGATTCACATGAAGTTCTTCTCTTTTTTTAATCCTCTCTTTCTTACCTTGTGGATTTTTGGTTATCAGTACAGGAATGGGGTCAAACTCATCTTCTGCCACCTTGTCCGAGCTCTCTGGGACATCAAAACCTGAGATGAGATTACTATCCTCTGCAACTTAATAAAGAATGCAAGCACATCAGCAGAAACAACGGAGAGAGAGAGAGAAAGAGAGAGGGAGAGAGAGAGATTAGCAAATGAGAGAACATGTAAGAGGCCCAAAATGCCCAACTGTATGACACTCTTGCTTTTAAAACAGCAAACCCAGAAACCGTACAGGAAACAAGTGCTTCAGAGAGGGCCCTCTCAATTCCTGTGTGAGGATCAGGACAGGTGTTATTAGAAGAGTGCTCGCTACAACGTGTAAGGCAAACCAAATTGTCGTGACTGAGGTATCGCCTCCCTGTCACCAATTCACAAAGGCAACGAATGTAGTCATGTCTCCTCTTTATTGAGCAAATAGAGACCTGACTAACAGTACTCCCCAAACTCAAAATACTGGAGGTGGAAGGACGGAGAGGTAAGTAAAGAAGCATCCACCAAGGACTCACTGTGAGAAAACTTTCAAACAGCTCTGATGCCTCAGGGCATGTTGGGACCGAAACTGATCTTAAAAAAAAAAAAAAATCACCATTTTTAATGGTGGCTCAGTGGGTATGCCTTGGGCTGCCAACTGCAAGGTCAGCATTTGTAAAGCGCCCCTATCACTGTGTGGGAGAAAGACGGGCTTTTTACTCCCATGAAGAGTTGCGGTCTGGGAAACTCAAAGCGGCAGTTCTACGCTACCCCATAGGGTCGTCGTGGCAGGGTGGGGAGAAGCTAACCTCAGCTACTAACAGGCCCAGCCACAGGCTACTGCTCACTTCCAGTCATCTTGGGGAGGTTTCCCTCACACGGGGCATAAGAGATTCTTGTCTGTGCATCTGGCTCCTTCCACAAGACTGCTTCCAGGGTCCACGCACAGAAAGAAGTTCAGAGACGGACTGCCACGCCTGTACTCAGCCAGTCAGGCACTGCACTGAGCACTTATCAACACTCAATTCAAGCGATGTCTGTCCACTGGAATCACAAACCACTCTCAGTCCAAGACTAAGAAATGCAGGTGGGAGATGTGCACAAGAAGCGCCATCAGTGAGGATTCACAGTGAAGCAGAATTCACCACTGCCTAGTCCTCTCTGAAGGCTGACGGCGCAGTCTTTATTGCAGCCATCACTTTGAACCAGATCTGAGGAAACAGATTTAAGTTCTGGGGCCAACAGGTAGCACGACATGAGCCAGTGGGTAGTCAACCCAAGCGTCTTCTTGAGCCTGCATAGACGTGCAGCTCGGCCTGGCCTGTACCTGATAACCGCCCAGTACCTGCACTCCAACCTCCTGAGAGAAAGCAATCCCTCCTGCACTACTGTGGTGTCCCAGACGTATGACAAGTCTTACTGACACATGCTGTGACCGAAACTCACAGGACAGACTCAACCCTTCCACATCAGGCATGAGTTAAATTCATTAGCCAAGACATACGGGAAGGAAACCTCCCGGGAGCCACTGTGTTTTTCTCCTCCGAGGGAAAATAATGTGGGCCCGAGAAGAAGGAAGTATTTACCTTTCTGGGCTGGCGCAGAGATCGCTAGCGGGGCAAACTCTTGCAGAAGATCGGTGGTAGAGTTAGAAAGCAGAGAGGAGTCAAGCAGGGAGTCTTCCCCAGGGAGAGAATCTGAGCCCAGACCGACAGCATCCCAGTCAGTGACAGCATTGAATGGCACACAGACAATAAAAAAATTAGACTTTTAGCCTTGAAACATTTCATTTACATGTGATACATTCCAGCCGAGCTGGGAGAAACAGGTTCACCCTCTGGATTTCCATATAAAGAAATAAGCATTTCCAGAATCCTTCTTAATGTTAATACTTAGATGCACAATGATTTTTTTTTTTTTTTTGCGCAGACTTTGCTGGTTCATTACGTTTGTGATTTGGATGCCAATGAAACCTTAGCAATTCAATTCTCGGCAAAAGCCCTTTGGGGAAAAGGGCTTGGAAGTGAAGTGTTTCACTTCCAGTTTCCCTAAACATTCCCTGGAGAGCTTTGGCTGTTCCAACAAGTCTGAGCAGAGTGTGGTATGTATTTTTCAGAAGGCACCCCGAGTCCCTTTCAAAGTAGCATGAATGATCTTGCTCCTTGTTAGGGCAGGTGGTCTCTAACTCTGCATTGCTCCTGGGAACCCAGGCCTGCAAGGGAAAGAACCGGAGGACGATGACATTCACAACTCAAGCTTTTCAGACGCGAGTTGTTTTCTGGGAAAATGTTTCTCTAGCGGCCTTACGGCGATTCCACAGCATCCAAGCGAGGAGAAGGAAAAGAACCCCGTTTGTCTTCTGTGCTCCCCCCGCCCCTCACCTGGATGAGGCTATTCTCACCTGTCTCGGTCTTTTCATTGTTTCCAGCGTGTCAGACAGACACTTTTACAGAGTCAAAAATAACGAAGGCTATTGTCATTCAATAACCTTGAATATCAACTTCGTATTTTTGAACAGTTCAGAAAGTCTACTGAGCTTTCATGTTGGATTCAGAGGGAAAGCCACGCTGGGCTGGGGAAGAATTCAATGTTGCCTACCACTTAGCGGGGCGACTGAAGCGCGGTTTGGGGCCACCGTGCTGACACACACACGGAACATGAACTCCAAGTGCCCCACGGGACTGCCCTCTAGGGGAGTTGGCTCAGCAGTCTGCTCATGGGCGTTCTTGCAGCTCAACTGAGGGCATTCACGAAGGAGGCAGAGGACACCCGCCGCCAGCGAGAGAATCTTGACTAATGAGCTAGGATTGGCCAGAGGAAGCCCAGGCCTGGATCACTCTACAAACCACACGGCTCCAAAGAGCACTCTGGTCTTTGGTGAGAAAACACATCGCCCAGCATCTAAAACCCGGGGCTGAAACAACTGCAGCATCCACTCTTGGGAGCGCTCACCCGGCAGCCACGACCACCTATGACAGGCCCTAAGGGCTCACCCGTGGGCCGGCTCTGCAGGTGCACAGACCCCTCCCCTAACTGACCTGCGCGGTTCGAGGTAACGGATTCCGTCTGAGATGGGAGGCGCTGGGGCGCCGGGGGCTCCAGTCCTGGTATGAGACTCTCAACAGCAGCCTCTGCTTTCTCTTTTATGACCGAGGGATTCGGAGCAGGGAGGAAAGGGCAAAGGAAAGGAGGTCAGAAAGTTCTTGACACAATTCGAGGAAGGCTTGCTTCTACAAATGGCCACAATGCCAGGAGGTGACTTTCCAGGAGTGGACGTCGCACGCATGTGGAAGGTTCCCAGCCAGTCTCCCTTCTTACAAAGAAACAGGAGATATGAGCGACCCAGCAGATCTCTTCCATGGCACAAGAGCGAGCAGGGTGAAAGGCAACCACATCTTCTGGGAGGTGTGACTTAGTGGACAGACTTGGGGACAAGCCATACCCGGTGCCATGCAAGCCCCAGCCAGCTCAAACCAGCTCCTGAGCTCGAGGGTTCTCTGCATCATATGGCCTCTGCCGGAGGGCAGCCTCAGGGACATGGCATTTTTGAGTTCTAAAGGCACTGCTGTGTTTTCAGAATAGGCCTCACTATGGCCGGCCATTGGCACTCGAAGGTCTGTCCTGCATGACCTGCTTGTTTTACTGTTGTCAGAGCACAGAAAACTGCAAGTCTCTGCCCAGTGTTCTAATCAAAGGGCTTAACCACTGAGTAAATGGTTTTCTCAGTTACAGATATTCATGGCATATAAGAGTTTTCAAAAGAAAATTATGTCTATTTACCAAAAATATAGCAATGAAAGGGGGGGGGGTTGGAAAAGAAAAAACATCTGCAAAATTCCCTTAAGGTCAGTAACGATAAGGTCCTATTCAAAAACACCCATGATGCTTAATTAAATGTAAATGTTCCCATACTCCTCCTCAATCCTAAGAAATTCATTCTAGAAATCTCACGATATGAATGAAAACAAACAACAGTGGTAGACCCACTGGAAGGCAGAGAAAACACTTCGGTTAGGGTTATACACAGATCACACAGGCTTCGGCTTCTGGGTGGGCACAAGGCACGACTCCCAACCCAGAGAGGGGTGGCATTGTCACTTTTCACTGGGGCTGTTCACTAGCATTCGGTGAACCCAGCAGACAGACATCAACATGCACAAGTGAAGAAACAGAGATGGTGAGTTTACCATTGACGGCATCAGAGGTGCTACCAAAAGGATCGGTCATAGGCAAAAGGTCAGGGAGCAGAAGGGAAGTGTCAGGAGACTTGAGTCCCTCAATGAGCTTTTCTAGGTTGGGCAGAGAGAGGGAGAAGTAAAAATGCAATGAGCGCGCAAAGCAAGCTGACCATGCACCATTTTCAATGTAGGCACACACATTCAGGGTCAACGTTTTGTGTAGATTCACCATAAATACGAACACTGTTAGTATCATCTCCCCAACTGAAGTAGTTAGTTCACGAGGAACCCAAGATGCTCCCCGAAGTCTGTCTGCTTTCATTTAGAATCCACATAGAATAAACGTCACTACTTTTAGGGGTAGAATTGATTTTTGGCGGGGTTCCAGTTTGACAGCTTCTGACAAATGGCTACATCTATATAACCATCACTGAAATGCTATTGAATATTTAAAAGTTCCCTTGTGACCTTTGCCGCCAACCCTCCCCTCTCACCCCTCCAATCACTGATCAATCCGATCTTCCTTCTGTCACTACAGTTTTGCTTATTACATAATTTCCTAAGAATGAAACCGCATGCAATGTAGTCCTTTGGGTCTGGCTTCTTTCTTTTGACACAAAGCTTTTAGCGAGTTACCCCTGTTGTGGTGTGTAGCAGGAGAGAACTCTGTTTCTGGCTGGGTAGTAATATTACTCTCCAGTGCATAAAGGCACGGTTTGGTTTGTTCATCCATTCAGTTGATGGGCATTTGGTCATTGCCAGTTTTTAGTTATTAAAAACAAAGTTGCTATAAACATTTGTGTACGTATTTAGTTCCCTGCCTGGGCTTTTAAAAATTCTCCTTTTATTGATGAGGGTCTTGCATTTAGATACAGTTTCTAACTCACCAGGAAAAATCCATTCAACCACTTCTAGGCTAATGAATGAAAAACAATAATAAGTTATCATCTATCAACGGTATACTTGTGACATGCTGGTACTTTTCTTATTTATGGCCAAATCTCATAAAATTTACTTAAACCTGTAGCGGATGATAGTTTACATCTTGAAAGACATGAAAGAACCCGAGAAACCTACAGCCTGCTCACACCTAGCGCTGTCACGCGGGACTGCTCCTTTAGCACCGGGCCCTCAGCACCCTGGTGTTCATCTTTCACTTATCATAGGAAAAGCAGTAACTGGACACCAAATAACGAATCAAAGAACGTCATAGGAAGAAAGGACTTTACAATGAGGGGAAGGAGGCCAGAAAGAGTCCACGACCTGACCAGTTAAAGATATGTTAACAATGCTTTTGCTATCGCAGAAAAAAAACGTATTTAGAAAAAAATAAAATGAGAAAAAGAAGTGATTTAAAGTTCAAGTACATGCAACAAACATTTTACTGGACCTATATTTTAGCACACTGGATGAAAAACAAGATGGTTTTCATAACAAGCCTAATTTTTCATTATTCTGAAACATGGCTCTTTATTTCTTTAAAAAAGAAATCCCTTTACATTTTGAGCACTCATGTTTGCACTCTGTGTCACACTAGATAAAAAATAAAGACTCAAAAAGACTGTCTTTCATGCTGGACATGGTAGAGCCTGGTCTTGACTTCAAAGTCCTTCCCACATGCTGTTGACAGGGCCTGTCTACGTACAACCACACGGGAGGCCAGGTCTTCCCTCTGCTGTGGTCCCGCGAACAATGGTAAAGTTATCTATGAAATGTTGGCGTTAGTAGGAACTTCAGATCTTATTCGACCATTCATTTACGGAGGAAGATTATCAGCTCCAGAAAAGGGAAGTAACCCCACCCAAGATCTTTCAGGAAGTCAGCACCAGAATTATCGAGGAGGAGGCCCCATCTTCTGAACTCCCAGGTTTGTACTACATTACTTTGTGGAGTCTGGAATTCTACCGCTGTACTTTAATTCCTCTTGTTTAACGAAGGCTTTGATGGCATTAAAATATAGACTCTTGGAAAAGGGCTAAGCAATGAGAGCAGAGAGAGCTTTAAAGGAGGGGATTGCTGGCGTTTTACATGAAAGGAAGATGTAAGGGAAAAGGTCTATGAGCATGGCTCTCGCTCCACTTCAACAAGCTCCAAGTGACAGTGGGGCAGGATTAGAAAGTACTGAGCCCAGTTCAGATTAGTCTCACTCCTCAAGACATTCATTAAATGTATCAACCACAAAAGAAAAAACAATCCCAACCCCCTGCCTTTAAATCTACTTTGGTTCACAAAAGCCCTCTTAGGCAGAGAAGAACTGCCCCAAGTAGTTTTCAAGACTACAATCTTTATGGAGGTCACATATTTCTCCTAAGTAGAGGCTGTTGGGTTGAACCGCCAACCTCTTGGTAAGCAACTGAGGGGATGTTACCGTGCTTCGCAGAAAATCAAACATGCAACAAAATGCTTAGACAACAGAATTGACAACGATCCAGTGCTCCTTAACTTGCGGTCTGACAATGATTTCATTCAAGGAAGCCTATTTGAGCAGTTCCCAGTTGAGCAAGGGTTCGAGGTCCAGAGAGTAGGCTTCATTTCAACAAGGAGAGAAAGGTGGACATTATATAAAGCTATAAAACAACTAGGGGTAGGGATCCCGAGCCAACGTTATAACAGCATTGACTATCTTTATAGCAATTTCACATTTACATAGCTATTTCAAATAAATCATTTCATCAGAACCACCTGATCAGGGAAGTAGTAGGCTAGGTTTAATAGTCCCAGCTTTAAAGATCAGAACACTGAGCTTAGGTGACTCGACAGAGACCACCTAGTCACCAGGTAGGCGGCTAGAACCCCAAGGTTGTATGATTGAATTGACTTGATTTTTTCCTAACCTTACATTTAGCTCTGGAGTCCAAGGCTGAATTAATCTAGACCTGCCCCACAGGCAAAAGAAACATTTAGTACTTAAAGGAGGGAGGCAATGACACACACCTGTAACGTGCAGCGGTAAGGGTACTATAGCTTCCTCGTCCACAACATGGGTTGATTACTTCAGATACCTACCCCTCGGTACTATTTGCAGGGTCAAAGGAAATTATGTGTAAGAACATTTTAAAAGTGGAAAATTAAAGGGTCAAAGTCATTGAAAGGCATAGTTGTTAAGAAACGGATCCCAGGGTCCTTATCATGAAGGCCAGGAGTGGAGAAGTTGAGCCTGGGCTGTAGGCGAAATCAAGACAGTAGAAACAAGACACTAGCCCCAACCAAAAAACCTAACGGGTGGCCACAAGAGTGGAGACAGTGGCAAACGGCATACTTCCTTTGGGGGTAATTAGTCTAGGTACCCGGGGGACAGGACATCAGTAGCCCTTTCTGCACTGAGCCCTTTCCTCAACTCAGGCCAAGGGGGAGGATGCAGCTGAGCCCCTCTCCACCTGTGCGCTCTCGGCTTGAGGCTGGCCTATGAAGGGCCTGCCAGGCCTTCCTGGAGGGCACTGCCGAGCGCAGCTCTGCTGCCTGTCTATCTTCTCACTAAGCACAGTCCCCTGAAACGGTCCCAGTGTGATTGTTGGTATTAGCGAGCTCTTGTCCTGTCCGGTACGCTATGAAGTTACATAGCGCTACTGTTAGGAATTGCCTATCATAATTATGTCACTTTACGAATTGTACTCAAGATTCAATCTTCAGGTTTTTATTTGAGCAGTAATATTAGCACAGCTGGGTGGATCTGTTTCTAGGTACCCAGTAACTCAGCTTTCCCATAGGACTTGTGTCTACTCCTCACCCGACGCTGCCACCAGCGGGGAGAGAGCGGGAGAAGACTGCTGGGTCAAGTCGGGCACGGCAGACAGGCAGCCCTGGGAGCAGGAGTAGTCTACCTACCTGGAACATCAGGGCCTGTCTGCTTTCCCCTCAGGAGAGGCAAGGAATCGCCTCATTTTATGAACCGTCTTTAAGAACTGTTTTAGCACCTAGCTGAAGTCCTAATAAATAGAGGATATGAATGCCACAATCACGTCCAATCTTGATGTGATCAGCAAAGTACCTTTAACATGCTCTCTGGGAACTGAAAACACACACAGTGTCTGTCAGTTTAAGATTAAGAACTAGTAAGAAGGTGGGGTGGGGGAGGCTGTCAGAAGCAGAACGACCACCAGCTACTTCTCGAAAGTTGGGCCCATCGGTCTGCTTTTTCACAGAGGCGACGACAGAAGGGAAATGACTCCCACCCGCCCTCTGTGCTTTTCGTGGGGAGAAAAGGATGGAGGGTGTGGTTGTTACGTCATCCCCTGTCAAGTTGAGGGCATTGAGAGTGAAGGGGTGGAGTTTAGCCCGTCGATCAGGTTGTAACTTGATGACCTCATTTGAAAGCGTGATAGAGATAAATAGCTCACTGGAGGCCAGACCCACTCTCTCTCTGCCTTCCCTTTCCTGCTGTTGAGACACCAGCGAACTGCAGACTGGCACCAGTGTTGAGATGATTCCACCACCACTGGATCCATAAGACTGTCTACCCACCGGCCTGTGATCTTCCTGCATTCAGCATCATGGCATGTGCGTGTGAGTCTAAAGAGGAATTTTTGGACTAGTGTCGGACATAAGGGCTAATAGCAGACTTATGGACTTCATCTAGATTGGGCTGGGATGTTTTCTCTATATACAATTGCTCTTTGATATAGAGCTGTCTCTTACACACTTACGAGTGTCTGGATTTGTTTCCTGAGTTAACCCGGACTAACACAGAGTGGGACTATTAGGCATTCACAAACGCCAGGTGAAGGACATCCACTTTTTGTTACAAAAGCTTCTTTAATCAGAACACACGAACCATGTCTTGCTTTCAAACTGTTTATTCAGACATGAGGGTGTGGGGGACCGAGAGTCATGGGAACTCAAGCAGTCTAGCTCTCCTCACTGACAGGGTGTTCAGGTCCTGGCAGGGCCATGAAGGGGCCCCAGGTCTCCTAGTTCACAGTCCCCACCAACCTGTATTATGGTCTTCAAAGGCTTTCTATATAATTTGGGTGAAGGTTTACTGAGCATATCAGCTTTCAACAATTCATACACATTTTGTT